AATAGCTGCAGTGGCATGCGCCACACTCCAGCCGGGAGGCTCTGCTGCGCGGCACGCCCTCCCGCTCATTCTTGCCCCCCCCCCCACCGCACACTCCTGAAATTCAGATGCGCAGCCTCCCGGAAAGAGACAACAGCAAGTATTCCGTGCACAGTCGTCTCTGGTTGTAGGTTGCCGAGTTCTTGAACGGCGGAGAGCCAAATCAGACAATTACGTTAAATGCGCAATTGCGCTCAACGTGTCTGGGTTTTTATTTTTATTTTATTGTCTTTTCGCAAACAGGGCCGCAGGGCAGCAGAGGGGGAAATCAAGGCTGGGTCTGTGGGGCGCAGAGCAACGTCCTCCCCTCTGCCGTGGCGCTGGCAGAAATCAACGCTGCTATTGGGTTTAAAGCCTAACAGGCACGTCTAGGCAACCGGGTTCCAATCTTGATCCCCCTGCCCCAAGTGCATCTGTTTCAAAGAAGAAACCATCACGCAGCAATTTGCCTGGCTCCGCATCCTGCCCTCACCTTGATGTACTTGATGGTCTGCTTGGCCCGGTCGTACCAGAAGCCGTAGTCCAGCCACAGGCGGAGCAGCTCCAGGGGGGGCTGGGAGCCAAACTGGTCCTTGGCAGGCATGTTGAGGTCGTCCATGAAGGTGATCATGCTCTTCCCGCCCAGAGGCACATAGACGCCCTTGGTGCGCTTCTCCACCCGGCTCTCAATGATGCTCTGGACGTTGGTCGACGTGGTCTGCAAAGGCGGGAGGGGAGCGTGAGGCCTGCGCTGACGGATGCGTCCCTGGAGCCCATGCGTGGGGTGTGCCGGGGGGCGGAGCCGGGACCCTCCCCTCCCTCAACCTGTTACCTGAGCGGACATGTTGATGACCAGGACAGCCCACTTGGTGCTGTCCAGGGTCTGCAGGACGCCCTGGGCAATGGAGGTCTTGCCGGTCCCCACCAAGCCGACCAGCAGCACTGGGTTCTGGTTGGAGATGAGGGCGTCGACGAGATAGTTGTAGCGCATGGTGTCCACGGTGGGGACGATGATCTTGTAGAAGGGGGCGCTGGGAAGAGAAGGGGAGATCCGGGCTCAGCCCCAGGGGCGAGGCATCAGCTCCTGCCATGCTTGGGACCTGCCAAAGCTTGGCTGCTTCCCCTCCCTCTTACACACACGCAGGGCGCCAGAGCCCCGGGGGCCGTTCTGGTCCTTCCCGACGCGGCTGTCACGGCTCCAGGAAGGACACTGGCCTAAATGCATGAAGACATCCGACACGAGACGCAATTGGCGCAGCTGTCACCCCCGCCGGAGCCTGACAGCTTGGAAGGAAGCCACCGTTAATGAAGGCTTGTCCCTCCGCCCGGCTTCCGAGGATGCAGGCGGCCGGCGGCCCGTGGCAGCTCGGGGACCACGTTCCGGCAATTTCAGGCCACTGATCGGATTAGGGGAGCGAGGGGCGGGAAATGGATCCGAGCCACTGGCTCGAAGAACAAGATCGGCCGAGCGACTCGGTGGCACGGCAAAGGCAGGCTGCTCGGGAGCCAGAAAGGGAAAGGATGCGGGAAACAAGAGAAGGCAGGCAAAGGGAGCAGGGAGGGGGTAACTATGTGTGTATCGTAGAGGTGCCCCTCTGCTGTCACTCACACCCTGCTACTGCTGCAAGAGACAAAAAACTCGCCTGAGACCCTCCAACACACACACACATAATGAAGACAGGACACCGCCATCCCTAGAATGAGCCCGTTCTCCGTGGTGCCCCTTTAGCTGCTTCTCCCTCCTACTTTCTTTACGTGTAAGAACTTCAGATGGGCCCTGCTAGGCTAGAGCAAACGTCCACTTCACCCAGCAACCTGCTTCTCACACAGGCCGACTCCCCAGGCTTGAAGGCAATAGTCCCTCCTGGCTATGAACGGCCATTCATGAACTCCTGTCTCCTCCTCCTCTGCCTCATCCATCACTATTTTCTTACTGCTATTACACTATTTCTTACACTATTTCCAACTGCTACATCTTGTGGCAGCAAATCCCATAAACCTGGCACGCAGGGTATGAGGCAGGGCTCTCCTTTGCCTCTCCTGCCGCTGTCCTACTGCTTTTGAGCCAGTGGCGTAACATGGGGGGTGTTCACAGGGGCAGTTGCCCCGGGCACAAAAGTGTTAGGGGGCATAAAATTTCAATGCCCAGTGTTGTCTCAAATCAGCTTTTCTGTCACTGGGCTCTACTGAAAATGGCTTCTCCACACGAATCAGGAAATGACCTCTTCAGACAACGACTCTTTTTTTGTTATCTCTGTGTCTGTGATCTCCTTGGAGATCATAGAATCATAGAGTTGGAAGAGACCACAAGGGCCATCGAGTCCAACCCCCTGCCAAGCAGGAAACACCATCAGAGCACTCCTGACATATGGTTGTCAAGCCTCTGCTTAAAGACCTCCAAAGAAGGAGACTCCACCACACTCCTTGGCAGCAAATTCCACTGTCGAACAGCTCTTACTGTCAGGAAGTTCTTCCTAATCTTTAGGTGGAATCTTCTTTCTTGTAGTTTGGATCCATTGCTCCGTGTCCGCTTCTCTGGAGCAGCAGAAAACAACCTTTCTCCCTCCTCTATGTGACATCCTTTTATATATTTGAACATGGCTATCATATCACCCCTTAACCTCCTCTTCTCCAGGCTAAACATGCCCAGCTCCCTTAGCCGTTCCTCATAAGGCATCAGGCAATTGAATGCGCATGTGTACACCATGAATTTCCCTCCCTCTTACCCACCCCTTTTGAGCGGCCCCGGGCACTGGCAACCCACACCAAGCCACTGCTTTGAGCTACAGAAGGTTGAAGAACACAGGTTTTAAGTTTTAGGGGCTGAGTCACACTCCCATGAAGCTCCTCCTTCCCTGCCTGGGACTGGCAGAGAAGGCTTGTCCTCTATCTTGGGCAACATGCAAAAAGCTGTTTACTTACTTGGATGGGTACCTCCACATCTTGGGCAGTTTATATTCAAAGGAAGACCATTGCTTCCGCTTGGGGTCAACGTAATACTCGTAGACTGTATCCTGGGAGGGAAAGAAGTTAGCTTGTTAGAGCGATGTATTTTCAGCAGTCCTTGCAGAGGCCTAAAGTTGGGCCTGGATCATGGATCTCTCTGGGCAGTGGAAGGGTTTTTCATTGCAACTGGCTCTTAGGTGGGCAAAAGGGATGCCCTGCGCACCTTCCCAGTGTTGCAGGAATTTATGTATAGGTTGGGGGGGTTGCCCCTCCAGCAGATATCATGCACATGCACCCCACTACCAAAATCAGCACAATCACTTTTGTGACTTTTGTGATTTGTCCCCACAAAACACCCCATCACAGTTTCTTCCTATCTATTCAAAGGGCCTCTGCTGCAGAACACCAAATGTAACAATTCACTGATAAATGTCATCTATGTACTGGCTCACAGGGAAAACTTCAGAAATTCATAGAGACACGTGTGTTCAGCTACTCAGCAGCCCCTCTGCCTGAGTGATAATCCCTGGCATCCTGATACCTGAGTGCCAGACAGGTAGCCATTCCAGAAATAACAAAAGGGTGTGGTGAACTTGGCTGGGAAACAGGGAAATGTAAGTATCTCTTTTGTTACACTTGATGGGGGTTTGGTGGAGGGCAAGGGGAACCATGGGGCAGGGCCCCAGAAGGAAGAACAGCAAAAGAGGCTTGAGCTCAGGGGTCAGCCTCTTTTCTTTTGGCCTTAGGCCCACCCCCGGCTGGCCGTCCATTGTCCTCCCTGGCCGAGGGCGGGTCAAAGGCCAGCTCAAGCAGGTGGGTGGCACCTGCCCAGGTGAGCCTCCCTTGGTGCCGCAAACCCCGCCCACATGTGGGGAAGGGAGGGCGGATATTGTTACACTTGATGGGTGTTTGGTGGAGGGCAAGGGGAACCATGGGGCAGGGTCCAGGATGCTCAGATTATTGCCACCAGACCTTCCCTTTCATGATGTAACCATGATGTATTAGTGATGTAGTTTGGGGGGGGTGTAACATGGGGATTAGCAGTTAATAAAAGTTTGGGGGCTCTTTTGTTCTGGGCTTCCATCTTGTTCCACCTTGTGGCAGGTGGGAGTCCTGTCGTGACAGTCTTCAATCAAGACCAAGGCTGCTGTTTTGTTCTGGTATTCCTGGCTGGTGTCCTTGATTTTTTTGTCCAAGGGAGCCCTTAGATTTCTCCATTAACACCAGAGAGAGAAGACCTATTTTTTCTTGCCCACCTCCCTTTAGGTCTGTTAAATAACATGCCCTCTTTTCACCTTTGGGGTAGCCTATCCAGCAAGCAGGGACGCGGGTGGCGCTGTGGGTAAAACCTCAGCGCCTAGGACTTGCCGATCGTATGGTCGGCGGTTCGAATCCCCGCGGCGGGGTGAGCTCCCGTCGTTCGGTCCCAGCTCCTGCCCACCTAGCAGTTCGAAAGCACTCTTAGGTGCAAGTAGATAAATAGGTACTGCTTTATAGCGGGAAGGTAAACGGCGTTTCCGTGTGCTGCGCTGGTGCTGGCTCGCCAGAGCAGCTTCGTCACGCTGGCCACGTGACCTGGAAGTGTCTCCGGACAGCGCTGGCCCCCGGCCTCTTAAGTGAGATGGGCGCACAACCCTAGAGTCGGACACAACTGGCCCGTAGGGGCAGGGGTACCTTTACCTTTATCCAGCAAGCACAACAGCTGCAGGACTTGGCTCAGCCTCATAGCACCACCCCACCCCACCCCACCCCACCCCACCCGTCGCTGCCATCCCTCGTGGGAAGTGCATCCAAGTGACCTTGTTAGGAAAGGAGCCCTCAATCTCTCGAAGGAAGATGTCGATTTTCTTCCGGCCCTCCTCGTCCACGGCCGCACACAGGGACCAGATCATGCTGAAGATGAAGTACATCTCCACCACCGTTGAGTAGTTTTCACTGTCCGCGGGATTCAGCTGGGGGGTTCAGAAAAGCTCTCCTCAGACCCACTGCCCCCCAAACTCACTGAAGCCACCTCCCTAGGAACAAAGCTTAACAGTGCCAGGATAGCTTACTTGGTAAAGCATGAGGCTCTGAATCTCAGGGACGTGGGTTCAAGCCCCAAGTTGGGCAAAAGATTCCTGCATTGCAGGGGACTGAACTTAGATGACTCTCGTGGTCCTTTCCAACGCTACTATTCTATGATCTGGACAAATTTAATGATACAGTCGTACCTCGGAAGTCGAAGAGGATCCGTTCCGGAAGTCCGTTCGACTTCCAAAACGTTCGGAAACCAAGGCACAGCTTCCGATTGGCTGCAGGAAGCTCCTGCAGCCAATTGGAAGCCACAGAATCTGCATCGGACGTACAACTATATTTGGAATGTATTTTTGGAAAACATAGTCACCTATGAATCGATGTACAGTGGTACCTCAGGTTACAGACACTTCAGGTTACTGCACTTCAGGTTACAGACTCCGCTAACCCAGAAATAGTACCTCAGGTTAAGATCTTTGCTTCAGGATGAGAACAGAAATCACGTGGCGGCAGCAGGAGGCCCCATTAGCTAAAGTGGTACCTCGGGTTAAGAACAGTTTCAGGTTAAGAACAGACCTCCAGAACGAATTAAGTTCTTAACCCGAGGTACCACTGTATATTTGAGGAAAACAATAAGTTCATGCATTTACATATATGTTACATAGTTCTGTAATCTTAATTATATTTTAATGTCGTTTTGTTATTGTTGTTTTCCTCTGTCTGTTAAAATGTTTTATGTATGCGTTCCCTTTTTCTTTCTTTTTTACTTTAACTCATTGTAATATTCTTAATAATTCTTTTTTTAGAGAGAGGCAAGGGGGCCATCCTTGACATAACGGGCCCCAAATGCCAGGTGGCCTGAGGAGGGTGGAGGCTGATGATGCCCCCAGGGCCTCCAGAGCAGCTGACTGGCCCTCGCTTGCCACTTACCCCTTCATCAGACGACGTCAAGGATGTGAACAGCTTGCAGAGAGATACGATCCCACTGTACTCAGGGATAGGGACCAGCTCCTGACAGTTGTCCTTCTTGAAGGTCAGCATCTTGTTGGTAAATTTGTCAAACATCCTCTGCAGGGTTTCTGCTTCGGTCTGGGAGGAGACGGGGGCAAAGGGAAGCTCGCTGACTGTCAACTACTTGATCTGCTCCTCCTGAAGACCCCCGCAAACCCACATTTGTCCCTTCAGGGCTTCCCTAGGACCTCTTCATCCCACCCTGACCAGTGCCGGATTTACGTATAAGCTAAACAAGCTACAGCTTAGGGCCTCACTCTCTTAGGGCCCCCCAAAAAAAATTAAAGGGGGAAAAACACCTGGATGTACATTTCCAAAAATATAAGATAAAAAACAAATAAAATAAAACCTACCTACAGCAACAGTGTTTTGTGTTGTGTAGGCGCCTATGATGTAAGTCATGGGCCCCGCCTGCTAGCCTGCTCCCTAAAATATCACTGGTTTGCTCCTTTCTATATATAGGGTGCCTACATTCTGCATGGACTGGTTGCAGGGCAACATGGGCAAATGGCTTGAGATACCTATGAGGTCCATAAATGACCATATAGCATGTATTCAACACAAAACACGACGGCAATTTGTTGTTGACAAAGGACAGCTGGATATATAAAGGGCCCCATTACCTTTAATCGCTTAGGGCCTCATCAAACCAAAATCCGGTCCTGACCCTGACCCTCACACGGTCAGTAGCTAGGGATACTTTACTGTTGCTATTTATAATGTTTATGTCCTGCCTTTCCTCCAAGGAGCTCAGTGTGGCATATGTACTTCTCGTCCTCCCCATTCTATCCTTTACAACAACCCTGTGAGGTAGGTTAAGCTGAGAGAAGGCAGCAACTGACCCAAGATCCACCAGGGAGCTTCGTGGCCGAGTGGGAATTCAGCTCTCCTGGGTGTATGAAATGAGCAGGGCAGAACAGGGTGGGGGGAAAGGACAGACTCGACCGCGGGGGTCCTGGCACCCGGTCGCTTTTACAACCCACTGCTCCCCCCTCCTTAAGTACCTTTGGGCGCTTCTCGATCCAGGAAAGGACATAGGGCTTCCAGCCCAAGTCACTGTAGTCCGTGTAAACCATTCCGCACCGGGAGACGGTGGCGGGCGAGGCAACGGCGAGATTCTCCACCTCAAACAGCAGGGAAACCTGTGGGGGAATGGAAACCACCAATCAGTTCTGGCCAAGGAGCTGCTGGAGGGGCAGGCTTGTGGGGGCAGCTCAGGCCTACCTGCTCGGGCATGGCGATCCGCTCGCCATTGATGAGGGTCAGCACCTTGTTGTCGTCCATGACAGAGTTCATGCTCTCGATCCACAGCGTGTCCACGGGGCCGTCAAAGAGGATCCACTTCTCGTCGGGTTTCTCGTCTGGGCAAAGAGGAACGTTAAGAACTCCGAGTCCATAATGCGGACTCCTGTCTCCCGGGCTGCAGCAGGAAGGATCTCAGGACAGTGAATTCGCTGCCCTCCTTTGTATACCTTACATGGAAGCCACAATATATGACTAAGGGCTGAGGAAAAATTGCCTCTCCTTGAGTCTTGGCAGAGCCACAGCCAGAGTTCGACTGGGTGGCTATCAGCTTAAAAGGCTTGAAAAAAAGGGTTGGACAAATTCATGGAGGAGAAAGGCTGTCAATGGCTACTAGCCACAGGGGCTATGCTGTGCCTCCATGGTCTGAGGCAGCAACATTTCTGAGTACCAGCTGCTGGAAGCCACCAGAGAAGAGCTCTTGTGCTCAGATCTTTGTTGGATCCTTAAATGTATTTGGGAAGACATACCGGATAGAGCCTTTAGCAGACTCTTCAGTCATCTTATTCACGTTCCTACATCAAGGAGAGCTAGAAACATGCCCTTTAAAAAAATGAGGGCAGATTCTGTAATTCAGGGGAACAGAACAGCAGCTGGTCAACAAACAAGGGGCAATGGGTGGGGCACCAGGGACAAGGATTGAAACACACAGAATGAATGGAAACACACAGAAATTTCCAAAGCAGAGCAGAGAATTTCTTCCAAGGTCTTGTTTGAAGAGATTGATTGTCTGAGACAGAGAGAGGTGCCAGGTTGCTCAGAAAGGAAGAGTGATTGGCAGCCAAGGAAGGCAGCTGGCACGGCCAAGGTGGGCCTCCCGGAGGGTAAATACCTGTGCAGACCTCGCGCATGATGGAAGCCAGAACGCCATCGTGCCATTCGCTGGTGGCAAGGTCATACCTCCCAAACAACTCCCCGAGGCTCAGGGCTTTGGGGTTGAGGGAGAAGTCCTGCAGTAGGGGGGGTCAGATGGGGACAGGAGTCTAGGTTAGAGAGTTAGGAGCTACCATCCACGGGCGGGGGGAAGCAAGGCCTGGCTGGGCAAGCAAAGGTCTGGGCCTCAGATGCCCAAAGGTGGGAAACAGACCACAGAGCTGGAGCAGCCCAGCAAGAACCAACACGCAGCTTACAAGGGAGTCGTTCCAAAGGCCAGTTCCCACCACTGCTCACATTGATTATTTCACTCGCGGGGGCTATCTTTCAAGCAGGCAGTTGGAATCATTTGACTCAAGTGCAAATCGGGGTCGCCGTCCCCCCACCAGCATTCGGAAGGTTTACGAGGGCAAGCGGAACGGAGTCTGGCACTGAGCCATGGCACATGAGTCAAGCCACCCCTGTTACCATCTTGCTCAGCGTAATCCAAACAGTGTGTGGGGGGGTGAGGGGTGAGGTAGCTAGCCACACGCAACACTGCAGCCCCAGCAGCACAAACAGAACCCCAGAAGTCTTCCAGTCTGCTTCACAAGAGAGTCAGACACTGTACTGGCAGGGGGGTGGAAAGAAAGGGGTCAGAAGCTGATTAAGAAACCCATAAGCGACAAGGGTCTCTCTGAAGCAGCCCAATGCCCCAGCCTGGACCAATATTTCGCCCTCTTCCTTGCCTTTCGATCCTCTGTTCCCTGTGCCCCCCCTCCTGCAAAGCAGCCAGCCCTCCAGCACAGAGCAGGGATCCCCCGAGAGGAAAAGACAGTGGGTCACCTTCACCCACCCAAAATCAACATGCATGCCAACAGGTTCCCATCCTCAATTATCATAGAGATTGGGGTCAGAGGAAGGCCTTCCCCCGCTCCTTCTCCCACCGTTTCCTAGAAACAGCAGTGCCATCGCCCCGCTGGCATGAGAAAAAGCAAATGCCCGCGGGAGGCCTCCTGCCGGCACTCGGAGATAATCACCGGTGCCCCCTCAGGGTGAGGCTATCAGGCAAAGCGGCATGAGCTGGGGGTGTTGGGGGGGCTGAGGAGAGGCAGGCGACAGTGTCCCAGGCTCAGCACAGATTTCCCCCTACCCTTGGCCTGGGGCTTAGTGCCCCCAGCCCTCAAGAGGAAACCCCACACAAAGCATGCAGCTGGTGCCTCCTGGCTACATCCAGTAGCTCCTTGGGGTGTGGCGCCCCCCTTGCTGGGTGGGGGGCAGGAAATGGTCTTTGAGAGGTAAGCAGGCAGACAGGCAGGCAGGCAGGGGGAAGGCTGGCCAGGCCACAGCAAAGGTGAAACCAAGACGAGGGACCACTAGCGAGGGCTGGAGACGAGAAAGCAGGAGTTGTGGCAGAGCTCAGCCAGAGCAGTCTGTAGTTTGAGGCCTCTGCCCAAGCAAGACTTCTCCTTTGCACCCTAATCTCCCTGGGCGCCTGTACAGTGACTAGCGTGCCATGGGCTCCAACTTTAGCCGGCTAAAGCTCACAGCTGGCCTCGAGAGAAGGGAAATTGTCCCAAATATATGGGCCATCCACCAGGATGCTTTGCACAGCCTCTCTATGGCTCAGACTCAGTGGCCACAAGCACAAGGAGGACAGGAGGGGCTCAGCTCCCCCACCAGCACACACACACTTCGGCTCCTGATCATCTTGGGGGCAGCAGCATCTCCTGCGGAACTGGCTGCCACAAGATGGGGCAGCAGCGGCCACTGGCTTGAATGGGGAATGGAGACAAACTCATAAAAGGGAGCAGTATTGTCACTAGCTACGGATAGCAAAATGGAGCCTCCAGGTTCAGAGGCACTGTAGCTCTTAATATGAGATAGTGGGGGCAGACAGGAGGGGAGAGTGGCTGCCTTTCTGCCCTGCTTCTTGGGTTTCCTGAAGGAACAGGATGATGGGTTAGAGAGGCGCCTGGTTTAACCCAGCAGGGCTCTGCTTATGTTCCCTGTGGGTGTCACCGTCCAACCCACCTGCCCTTTGCCTGCTCTGTTATACATTTGGGGCCTCTGAGTATCCCGGACTCAGCCTGGCCTGCAGGGCAGCAGGACTCAGTTGCCCCCAGGGAAGAAGATGCATCCCTATAGGTCTGAGACAGTGTGGCTTCTAGGCAGGAAGGCACTCTGATACCTCTCTCTCTCTCTCTCTCTCTCTCTCTTAGCAACATGGCAGGAGTGAAGGAAGGGGCCCTGGTGTACCTGCACATGCCAATCGCATGACGCTGGACAGAATGCCATCCGTCCACTCATTGGTGCTGAGGTTGTACTCTCCATACAGCTCGCCCAGGGAAACTGCCTTCGGGTTCAGGGGGTACTCCTGGAAGCAGGCAGGCCCAGCAAGGAAAGAGAGCGGGAAGGTGGGAGGAAGAGAGGGGCGGGGGAGACAAAGTCAGGAGGAAGCAAGGTGCGTTTTTCTAGCTAAGACCCGGAGAGTCCTTTGCACTTTATTCATTTTTTTATGGCTATCCAGTTGGGAAGAAGAAAACGGAAGCTAGAGGGTTGGAGGGTAATCCCGCTCCCGTTTTTATATCAAGGGCGATCAACTTGCTTCCCGTCCCAAGGAAAGAATGCAGCGGAGAAGCCAGCCAGCAAGGGGGCCACAGGAAAAGTGGACATTGGGGAAGAAGCCCCACCCAGCCCAGCAAGTCCCAGAAGAAGTCTGGGATGGGCCCCGGAGGAGGTGGAGGAAGAGGAAGAGGCAGCCAGACTTGGCAGAGGCAAGTGCCTGTGTCACAGAGCCAGGCACCGGTTAGGCGCAGGAGCTTCCCACTGACCCGGACTATGTTGGCCGTCGTGTCTCCGCTCTTGCAGAGGGTGCAGAGGGTGGCCTGCAGGGCACGCCAGGTGACGGTCTTGCCGCTGCCCGTGTTGCCCACGATCATGGAGGAATGGCGAGAGTTCTTGGTCTCGTACAGCTGGATCACCTTGGTGATGGTGAAGGGGATCACCTGCAGCCCCATTTCTCTCAGCTCCCCCTCAAGGACTTCCTTGAGCTGGAGGGGGAAAGAAAGAAAGAAAGAAAGAAAGAAAGAAAGAAAGAGCCCGGATTGGAAGGCTGCATAGGCAACACCTTGTTTTTCATGCCACCTCTTAGCTCAGTCAGTAGAGCATGAGACTCTCAATCCCAGGGCTGTGGGTTCGAGCCCCACAGTGGATGAAAGATTCCTGCCTTGCAGGGGGTTGGACTAGATGACCCTCGTGCCCTCTTCCAACTCCACAATTCTATGATCCTCTCTCCCAATAAAGTCCCTGCTTTTTCCACCACTACCATCAAGAATTCCAGTGGGTTGGTTTGCGGGGGGCTTCCATTGGAGAGCAGCAGCTCAGCACTGGGTAAGGCTCTTGCCAGATTTCCCAAGAAGAAGAGGCAATGCCTGTGGGGCAGGGAGGGGACGGGATGGCTGACCTTCCCATAGTCGATGACGGGGCACTCAATGCCTGGGAAGAGGTCCTGAGTGATGGCGTTGAAGAGAGGCACGTCGCCGGACGTCAGCTTGGCTATGTTCATGTCTTTCATGGCCATGAGGAGGACCTGCAAGCAAAGAGTGCGGAAGAGCTGGTCAGAGGGTATGTGGGGGCAAAAAAAGGGTGCCAAGTGCTCCATGAAGCACCCCAGGGAGAACCCCGTGGCATAAAGGAGCTGCTGCGTGACTGATAAAGCCACCAGAGGCAGACATGGAGAGCCAAAGGTCATTTCCCCTCCCAAACCTGCACACACAACAGCAACGTTACAAGTGATTTCCTCTTCATTCCAACCCCAGAGTTCTTGGCAGGAACAGAGGAAGCTGCTTTAAAAGGAGCCAAACCAGTGGTCCACCTGGCTTAGTATTGTCTACACGGACTGGCAGCAGCGGCTCTCCCGGATTTCAGGCTGGAGATTCTCCTGGAGATGCTGCTACAGATTGACCGCAGGACCTTCTGCTCCCAAGGCGGGCTCTTTGCTGCTGAGCGACGGCCCTTCTGTGCTGGCCACGTTTTGCAGCACAGCTGCAGAAGGCAGGGGGCTCCTCACCTCCTCATCAGTAAGGTCGGGCCGCACCCTGCGCTTCTTCCCGGCATAGCGGAGCAGGGACGTGAGCGCCCGGAGGCCAAAGTCGTAGTGGTCTTGCTTGGAGAGCTGCTGGACAGCCAGCGAGTAGAGGGTGTAAACCTTCTTGGCCAGGATCTGGGAAGGGGAGGAGACAGTTTGGTGAACCTCACTGGGAGGGCTCTTTTTCCGCTCACCTGCTCTGCCCAAGCAAAGCGCCCCCCCCAACAATCCCAGCAGTAAGGTAAAGTAAAGGGACCCCTGACTATTAGGTCCAGTCGTGGCTGACTCTGGGGTTGCGGTGCTCATCTTGCTTTATTGGCTGAGGGAGCTGGCGTACAGCTTCCGGGTCACGTGGCCAGAATGACTAAGCCGCTTCTGGTGAACCAGAGCAGCGCACGGAAACGCCGCTTACCTTCCCGCTGGAGTGGTACCTATTTATCTACTTGCACTGTGACGTGCTTTCAAACTGCTAGGTTGGCAGGAGCAGGGACCGAGCAATGGGATCTCGCCCCGTCGTGGGGATTCAAACCGCCGACCTTCTGATCGGCAAGTCCTAGGCTCTGTGGTTTAACCCACAGCGCCACCCGCGTCCCTTATATCCCAACAGTACCTTGCAGTTATTGAAGCCTTCCCCAAAGAGGATGATCTCGGCGATGAGCGTGGAGTCAGGCACCACCATGGAGATGGGGCGGAACATCGACTTGAGGTTGTCGGGCAGCTCTGTGCGTCCGGCGTAACCTGCCACGAGGAACACAGAAGCACTGGCAAATGTCCATGGGTGGAGGCACACACACCCCAGTTGAGCCCACCTGTCAGGGACTGGACCGAAGGGGACGAGATTGAGGAGGACTGGTGGAGATCGCCCCACCCCTTCTCTTCCTGAAGTTTCCAGGGGAGAGGAAGGCAGTACTGAATTACAGCAGTGGTTTGAGGAAGGTCACAGCTCAGAGACAGGCGAACAGAAGAGATGGGAGGTGTTGGGAGAAGAGGAGGAAGAGACAGAGAGCAGCCAGCTGACACACTATCACTGAATAGTATTTCTGATCCCCCTTCTCCCAGAACACAGTGTTCGTTGAGATTGCAAGAGCAAAGGATTCAGAGACAATTGGCCCCTGGTGGCCACCGTAAGGGGGAGTGCTATTGCTAGGAAGGGAGGGGGGAGGAGCTCAGTTGGAGCAACACCATTAACGGGAGACAGACTGCAGTCCTTTGTCTCTTGCTGTGATGATTGAATTAACTCATTAGTAGGCACTCTTCTTTGTTTTTCTCTGCTTATTGCTGCCACCGAGGGAGGGACAGAATTCCCTGAAGCCTGACGCCACCCCTGCCCAGAACGATCCTCCCAGCCTCCCCACCTGGGTTCATGGTGATGAAGATGCCGCAAGACCACACCAAGTTGATCTCGTGGCCCTCAAAGGTGAAGCGCGTCAGGTTGGCGGCCAAAGCCGAGAGGATGGAGAGGATCTGCTGGGCCACGACGGACAGGACCTCAATGTTGATGCGGTTGAACTCGTCAAAGCAGCCCCAGGCCCCGGTCTGTTGGCAGAGTGCAAAGTGGAGAGCTTGAGGAGGGCCAGGGCAGGCATGG